ACTGTTTTACTCAGCAGAGATAAGGCTATCATATGCACATTGTTTTGTTGGCTTTAGAGCAAAAAACATTTTTTCATGGTTTTTGCTATATGAAATACATTGAAAAACAACGCATTAAATGGCTCACGTGGGCCAATAAGCCCCAGCTTTTATGGCTTATTTGCCCATGTGGGCCAATAAGAGCAGCCTAGCTGTAAAGGCAAAATTTTTACTTCCACTACCACACACAGAGATGCACTGCTTTGGAGATCAAGCAGCAATATTTTTGCTGCAGATCACACACCCACTAAAACTGTCGCAAATCAATTATACAAGATCAATTTTACTGCTCATTTTGTAGGCTAGATGGCTAGATTCTAGATTCTAGATCTAGATCTAGATCTAGATCTTCTAGATCTACTGATAAAACATGATACCAAACACTTCAATCAGTATCGATATCCAGTAGTCTTTGCATGTGTGATTTTGTGTTAGAATCTAGATCTAATCTAGAAAAAAAATCTAGATCTAGATCTAGATACATCTAGATTAGATCTACCGGGACTGCAATTGTACAGGAGTGCCTTTCTAATCGGTTGCTGATAATATTTTAAGATAATAATAAGATTCGCATCTCAGCACAGACGCAGGACATAAAAGTTAAAGATCAATGGATTCCGGTCGATTGACATAACAACTAAAACAACTGTTCGGCCTTCTTACCATGGTGTTTCATAACCCCCAGACTTTTTTGTACTCTGCTGCTGAGTGGCAACTTTGTCTTTTGACACTGCTTCTTCAGACTCAACAGCTTGGTCAACTTCCATGGTTTCAGTTTCTACTCCCGCCATTTTGACTCTTTTGCAAAAGAAAACGAGTTTAAACGAGCCAAGTCATAGAGTCCCACCAGAGGAGAGATGGCACTTCGCCCGAATGCGCGTATCTGGGTCACCAGCTGATCGTGGAGAAACGCGCATTCTACTAGTGAAAGATATGTTACCTGGGTCAGCGAAAAGTTGTCTAAATACAAAGTGCCATCGATCGGTTTTGCTACTTTCTTTGTCCGATTACCACTTTTTTTTTCTTTTCTTTTTTTT